GATTAATTGGCAGCTGTAATAGCTGATGTGGACCTGCTGTCCTAACCCACCCATCCCACCCCAGGGGAGGACATCCATCACACAGTAATCTCGTGTGTGGGAAATTAACGTCTCCTGCCCCAACCCTGCAGGAGACGGGACCTCCATTTATTCGTCCCTATCCGAGAAGACTAGAATATCTAACCATTTCTTGATGTTATAGAAAGGTAGCAAATTCTTCTCAATTATTTTAAGACCTTGAGTGTTGGTCCGGCCGGGGCTCGAACCCTCGACCTCCCGCACTACAGTCCAGCGCTCTATCCATTGAGCTAACCAGGATGCCTTGAGATTTAAAAATCCTTAGATTCGTGGAGCACAATAACATAGAAACTTTAGCATTCAGTTATATTTTGTATAAGATTTCAACTGACCTATGAGAGGGCCTCGTCTATAATACATGGATTAATTCACAGCTCATAAACCTACCATTGTCTCTATCTTTTGCTTGAGGTCCAAATACGGGAAAGAAGTCGCTTGGCCATAATCATCGGTCCACAGTAAAGTGATAAGTTGTATCTTCATGCGATATGTAATGAGTCCTAAAAGGTGGGTTGTAGAATGTTTAGTTGAGGAACCAGTCTTATAGCCGTGCTTTAGTTTAAAACTAAGATCCCTTCTACGTGTGTCCTAGTTTTTTTGGGGGGTTATACGCTCAATTTTTTCACACGAAGAAGGAAATTAACCTGAGTTGTAGAATGCGACTATGTTTTTTTTATTAAACTACGTGAATTGTTTTAAGGATATAATTCTGTTCCAGTGAGGGCTTTCTGGTTCAAACGTGCAAAATATAATCCATCAGTATTCCGTCAAAAGTCTCTGCAAAGAAAATTAAAAAGGAAAGTCCTCACCTTCAAGGGGCTTTCTAGACACGTAAGTATGTGGCTCAGTACATGGAGCATCAGACATCAGTGTGCCATAGATAGTCCCCTCTATACCAACGCAGTCTTCCTTTAAGCCTGTTGGTTCGTTTGCTCTCCAAGAAGTGTGATCAACACTGGTACCATCTGACCACGTATACGTCCCCTCTGTGATCCGATCATTCAAGCCTGTCCAAACTAAACTTGTTATTCCTGGTGTGATAAGCCGTTGGACAAAGCCCACCTCGGATGTCAGGTGGAAGGATACTAGGGTAGCGTTATCTTTGGCGCTCTGAAACAGTGCTCCCTCCCAGGTCTGTTTATCCGTATGATATCTGTAACAAGTCCCTTTGTGCAGCGTATATCCGTTGGTACACAGTGCTATTGAATGGAAAAACAGAGCTAGAACCTTGTTGATTTTACAGGAGTGAGAAATGGATCGTAAAATAAATACATCTCTGATACTGACTACCGAAATGAATACCCCCCAAGGTGTAACTTGTAATGTTGGCAATAAACATAATAAAAAAGCATCTCCAGTTTGATCCGCCTGAGTCTTGTAGGGGATATTAAATCTCAAGAAAATAAAACTTAAATCAGATGTCTGAGTGATTGCATCAAATACAAAATCGAGAAAACAATATACTTACCACTCTGCAAGAGGATGTATACATCTAGGAATAAAGAGTTAAAAAATGATAAGTTACCATGCAAATTATCTACATCCTCCTTTTTTGACCATTATTTTAACTTTCTAATCTTAGAATTGGCGAGAAAAGTGCATGGTTCAAGCTAAGTAGCGACGAATATTTGTATTCAAAACAATTTACAGTCCGCCATTTTCTACTACATTTCCCTGTCTGAATATCGGGAAAAATTTCGAAGGGAAAACTTTCATCAACAGAAAACGTACAAAATGTAATTATAGGTGATGAATGAACGTTATGTCGTTTATGTCACGATTTAGAGTTACTGTCAATTGAAGCACTACTGCATCAATTGAAGAACTTGATCCTTAAATTATGTCTTGAATTTACAACTGATATGAATGTACATGCACAGTTGAACATTCATCTTACA